AACACAATGACAGGAACAAACTCACAAGAACCAGTCACATGTACCAGTCACGCTAAAACACATATTCATCCACACACTGAAGAGCACGAGCCATTCAAATATTATTCACATCAGAGGGAACAATATTCACCATATCATAAAAACGACACCATAGACACATGAACACAGTAGTAACGCTGCTGCAGATGTACAAACAAAGCAGTTCACTTACCAAATGCTGAAGTCCGTCCTCCTGCGAACGTGTTCGTTGAGTTGTAGATCCACTCGGGTCTCAGCAAAAGTTTTCAAAAGCACCGTAGCTTGTAATTGTCCTGCCGTGCTATGGTGTTGTGTTGCTGCCTTGGTTAGCCACCTCAGGTTAGCGTAGCGTAGCTCCAAACATCAAGACGCTCAGTCGCAAATAAAACGCATCCTTAGCCATAAAATGTGCAACGCTTCTCCGCCGCTGTCAGCCAGAAATACCGCTCATACAAATGCTTTTCCTGGCTGGGTCAGGGCTGCTAGCTATGGGGTTGGCCGACCCTTTGATACGATGTCCAGCTTTTCTGGAACTCTTACTACTACTAAGCTCCGCTAGTTAGCTTCAGCATCACAACAGTCACGCTAGTCCACTGACCAATCACGCCACACGTTATTGCTGAGCTGCACGTTAATGCTGACGTACTTGTAGACTACCTCGGTAGCTCTGACACGTCAAAGAATACGCCCAACATGTCAAACTAAAGATCTGATTGGTTGAGCACTATGACAATCAACAATATCGTCCCCATTCACTTACACTGCACATGGATTCACTTGTGAGTCTGCAGGCCTCTGCCTCTGTTCTTACCTAGAGACACAGAGGTGAGATCTGATTGGATAAAAGCTCTACTTAAAACAAGCTCTACTGGAAGCAGAGCAACTGAGGAAGACAGTAGCTGTGCAATGAGAAAATAAGATAATGGGGAAAATATTATAATACATGTAGTGTATTTATGAAACATTATTAAAATATAAAATAGCTATAACTTTGTGATTCTGTTTAGGCCAGCAGAGAAGGCCTTGAAGGTCCTGACGGCCCACCACTGAGTGCAGGTATCAGTATTAGTACAAAATATATAGTGCAGGTATGAGTATCAGTCAAAATATATAGTGCAGGTATAACTATAAGTACAGAATATATAATGGAAGTACAAGTAGTAGTATAGTAGTTGTGTAATCCCAACCTGAACAAAATAGTGGTAAATAAATACATATTACCGTTACATTATAAAGATCTCTCTTTGTTTCAGTTTTCATCACAACAGTTTTAAACACATAAATGATATATATATATATGTATATATATTGTGTATTTTTGCGATTGTGACTATTTTGACGAATCAGCACCTGTTTGATTTGAACTTGAAATTCTAAACAGAACCAACACATTTGGAACCTTTTTATCCAGTAAGATAAAAAGGTTCGACTCTTCAGAGTTTTATTTTCCTCTGAACCCCCCCCCCCCCTCTCAGTATTAACTTTTCACGTTCTCTACACTCTGGTGGGGGGGGGGGGGGGTCTCCCCCTGGCTGTGTTTGTTTATCTCTCTATTTGCATTTCAAATGTGGGGAATGCAGCAACATGACAAACTGTTACCTCTGAACAGAGTCGGCCCACACGCTTTCTCAGAATGTGTTGCAGATAAAAAGGAGTGGAAGGATCTTTGAGTCGTATCAGATCTGCTTCACTAAATACTTCTGTTCCCCTGTAATCTGCTTCCCTCTCTGCTCAGCGACTCCCACTCGTCCTCCATCACAACATATCTCTGCTTTTGTTTTTCTGTCTGCAGCCGCCGCTGCTGAGCGACGCAGCTGGAAACCGCAAGTTCAAATGCAGCGAGTGTGGAAAAGCCTTCAAGTACAAACACCACCTGAAGGAGCATCTTCGTATTCACAGCGGTGAGTCGTCCTTCCTCCGAACATCGATAATCTGCTGCTGAATGACTCATCACCTGTTTCATATCAGAGCGCTTCATCATAGCTCAACACGAATAAAAGTACTTCTCTTTGAATAGAATTCACCGTGACGTCATTTATCTTTTCCCTTTAATGACAATAATCCTGTTCATGAAAGGTTCATCTTTACACTGTTAATTCCAGTCATTCTTCTAGAACAACTGACAGAACTGTAAAATAACAACATACAGGAAGAGTTCAATATAGTACAGTCATAATACTTATGGTGGACAGACAGACAGACTCACATTAGCATCCATAGTGGTGCTGCTAACGTGGCTAACATTATACCCACCAAGCTCAGACTAAATGTAATGAACTGTAATGTAATTTTTGATAGAAGGAAGACCGACCCATTGAATTAGATCCTGACTTTTAATTCACCATTTTTATCTACCAAATCAAAATTAGTAAACTGTCCAATCAGAGATCACAAATTTGATCCTAAATTATAAAACTGTATTATTAGAAACTAAAGTCTAAATATTCTGTGTTGTGTTGCAGGTGAGAAGCCATACGAGTGCTCCAACTGTAAGAAGCGGTTCTCCCACTCCGGCTCCTACAGCTCCCACATCAGCAGCAAGAAATGCATCGGCTTGATCGCCGTCAACGGACGAGTGCGCAACAGAAACAAGCCCGGCTCCTCCCCCAACTCCACGACCTCATCGCCTGGAAGCCCCGCCCTCGCACAGCTCCGCCACAAACTGGAAAACGGGTGCCCACTCGGCCCTCTGGACCAACAGGGTCAGCTCGACGTCAAAGCCGAGCCGATGGACTTCAACGAGTACCGGCTGCTGATGGCCTCTCAGCACGGGTTTGGGGGTTCGGGGGTTTACCTGAACAGTCGTGGTGGAAGCCCCCTGGGCATCCACAGCTCCTCCCAGAGCCCCCTTCAACACCTTGGAGGCTTGGGGCTGGACCTCCCCCTGCTGGGGTTCTCGGGTTCTTTCGGGAACAACCTGAGCGAGGTGCAGAAGGTGCTTCAGATTGTGGACAATACAGTGTGCAGGCAGAAGATGGATGGGAACCCAGAGGAGCTCTCCAAGCTCAGGGCCTACATGAAGGAGCTGGGGGCCCAGATGGAGGAGCAGAGGCTGGCCCAGGCCGGTTTCCAGCTGGTGGGCCACGGCAGCCCCACAAAGAGCATCATCGACTACACGCTGGAGAAGGTCAACGAGGCCAAGAGTTTGATCGACGACTCCAAGAGGCAAGTGGACATCAAGAAGGAGAAGCCAAACCACTCAACTGATCTCTGCGGTGAGGAGAAGTCTCATGATAGCCAGAACCAGTTCCTGCCGTTCTCCTGCCAGTACTGCAAGGAGACCTTCACCGGGCCGATCCCGCTGCATCAACACGAGCGCTACCTGTGCAAAATGAATGAGGAGATCAAAGCAGTCCTGCAGCCGACAGACAGCAGTCCTGCCAGACACAGGGGGGCGATACCCACGGAGCTGTCTACCAACGAGCAGGCCACCAGCCCCATCAACCCCTTTAAGGACCACGTGTCGGTGCTCAAGGCCTACTTTGCCATGAACACTGAGCCCAACTCAGAGGAACTGCTCAAGATTTCAATTGCCGTCGGCCTTCCTCAAGAGTTCGTCAAGGAGTGGTTCTCCCAGTGGAAGAGCCAGAACTACCACGGAGGCGGTCTGAGGAAGAAGTCGCCCCCTCCTGACCGAGGCAGACTGGATGTTAACCACAGCTTTAGCCGAACGCTAATGTCCCTCCCGATCGTAGATTTACACCGAGGCTTCATTAACGGTGATGCCTCCCACAGACTCACAAAGGCCAACAAATTTACAGGCAACCGGCACACAACAGGGGACAAACCATTAGACCCCTTAGACCACTTAAGGAGCAACACTCCGTCACCCCTCAACCTTTCCTCTACTTCCTCCAAAAACTCTAGCTGTTACACTCCAAACAGCCTGGCTTCTGAGGAGGCCCATGGGGATACACCACTGGATCTGTCGCTGCCCAAACACATGGCCCAGAGGCTCATGTCTGTGAGGGAGAAGCAACCCAGGTCCAACGGTTTCCTCATAAAGCGCAATGGCGAGGTGCTAGGACGAGAACAGGTGTCCAGGCCCATGGATCTGGTCAACATCAAGAAAGAAGTCCTGTACTCTGATGGTGGAGGGAACTCCATCCACCAGCTGGAGAC